GTATCCTCCGTTGTTACCACCTCCCCTGTATCCTCCGCTGTTACCATCTCCCCTGTATCCTCCGCTGTTACCACCTCCACCGTATCCTCCGTTGTTACCACCTCCCCTGTATCCTCCGCTGTTACCACCTCCCCTGTATCCTCCGTTGTTACCACCTCCACCGTATCCTCTGTTATTATCTTTATTTTCATATTTTGCTATTTTCTCTCCTCTTCCATATTCTCCACCGTAATTTTCATATTCTCTATTATTCTTAGTTCTACCTTCATATTCTCCACCACCACCTCCATATCCTCCAAAATTATGTCCATAATTTTCCATATTGCCTCCGTATCCTCCACTACTACCACCTCCATATCCACCAGTACTATCGCCTCCGTATCCTCCAATACTACCACCTCCGTATCCTCCAATACTACCACCTCCGTATCCTCCAATACTACCACCTCCGTATCCTTCAATACTACCACCTCCGTATCCTCCAATACTGCCACCTCCGTATCCTCCAATACTGCCACCTCCGTATCCTCCCATATCTCCATATCCCTCATGTCCTCCTCCATATCCACCATGACCACTATGATAGAAACGATTATCATATCTTTCGCTAGTTCCTCCTCCTACTCCTTTCTTGCATTTTTGAGGATAATGATGTATAATATCGCCATACATTTTACCACTCATAACAAAATGATGAGGAAATATGATTACAATAAACACCTAAAACGAAAACAAAATTCATATATTTGAAATATTTTTAAAAACTAAAAATTTAAAATACTGTATTAAAAAATCTCACAGCTATGAAATTAACCATCTCAAATCTCTCTCGATAATCAAAGGAGACAAAATAAAAAAACTGCTTTTATATCAATTATAAAAGATTCAAACATTTTTAAAATAATTGTTTCCAAGACATGGACGAAAAGAAATCTCTCGAAAGTAATTAGGTTATTCACTTTTATTGTTTTGATTTGAATGCTTTTCCTTATTGTATTTACTAAAGAAACATATTCATAAAGAAATATCAAGTAATAAGGAAGATAAATAAACAGAAGAAAGTGAACATTAATAAATAAAAGATTTTAATTACAATATTTCCCAATCAGATTGTTACTTGTAAGTTACGTATTCGTGTTTATACAAATAGATTATTTCTATACTTCAAGGAAAATAGAACAAATGAGAAACCACGCTATACGCTACTTTATAAGGTCATGCACGATATGAGATGTGCATAATGGAATTTCGAAATGCAATCTTGATCTTTAAATCCTTTTATTTTTGAGAGCGTTAACCTATCTTTATTCGAAAAAGTATTTTAAAAAAATACATTTTCAGTCTTTTAAAAATTAAGTAAACATTATTCATGTATTTTGTTTTCAAATTATATATTCAAATTTTTTTTAAAACTTTATTTTGATTTTTGGTCCGTGACCCAAATAGCTACAACTTGCATTAAGATGATGATTAGTCATCGTTGGTATAGAATCCATCATTTAATGTTAATGAATTACCAGTTAAACTAGAAAGTTAGGCGAGATAAAAGCATAGGCCTATATCTTGATGTTTGTCAATAGCCTTAAACTAAATTTCCGACAAACCCATTTATTTATCATCTGTCCAGATAAACAAGTAGTAGCCATCAATCTGTTTTGAAGAATCTTAATTTCTAATTAATAGTGTACAAAATAGTATGACAAATAGTTTATAATGCATTTCATAATGGAAATAATTATATGTGATTCATAAACGCACGATAAAGTGTTTAAACTATATATTTAATAGCAAACATAAGTTTAAATTAGCGCTGTTTTGCTAACATTCAATAATTTTAAGTCAGAAGAACAATACATTTTATTTTACATGTTGTAAAATGTTACTTGAAGAAATTTAAGCGTTTAAATTTGATTAAATACAATATATATATATATTAATATTTCGATGTAATATTTGAGATTTGTTTATCGCATAATTTATAATCAAATTTATATTACTGTATATAAAAAAACTATGCGATAATTTATTATTAACACTTATAGCAACAGAACTATCATTCTACCTGTACACAATTAGTATTCATTGATATTGATAGTGCAGACCTTGAAAATGATCATTATTAATTAGTACCTTGAAAATTACTATTCATTATTATTATTATTATTAGACAATAATAAGTGTTTCTCTACCTTTATAGAATTATCGCCCCCTTTATAAGTGTCGAAAGAAATTTTAATATCGCCCCCTTTTCTTTATCAAATATTATTTTATACTTTTTATGTTTTATAAAAAAATCATAAATAAATAATTATTTATTCAAATACAAATTTCGCAACAATTAGTTGTCAATTCTAGAGTTGTATATTAAGATAAATAAGTATTAACGTAATCATCTAGGCCGACGAAGTTGAGCCAACTTGTTTATATTTTGTTGAAAACTAGTTAAAAATAATTCAAATCACTTTTTCGAGTTACTGTATTTGCAAACGATTCGTTCTTTGCACAACTGAAGAACGGCACTAAATCCTTATCTACGACACAAGAAGTTGGAAATGGCATAATTAGCAATTTGATTTCATTCCATAGCGTTTTAAACTCGTTTCTAGTTTAAAACACTCTTTTATTCAAAATATTTCAGTTTTATCTTGTGTAAATAAAATTTAGGCTTCGAAGTTGATCGAATTTTCTTGCAAATGAGCGGGCATCATATTTACATCTACATGAAAAGGGTTAAAGAACGTAGAGTTCAATATAACTATAAAACGCCAAGAAAAATACGTCCGATACACTCGAAAACGAAAACGCAAACGAATCGATGGAGACCTTTGCCGAAATAAAACGGCCCATCAGTGAATGGAACGGCCAAGCTGTTCCATTCCCTGAACACTAGGAGTTCGGTCGTGAGTTCACCAGAACGGGCTGGCCACGTGGAGTTTTCCGGGTTTTCTCCACGTCTATAACGCCTAAATAGGGGCCAGTTTTCCTTAAAAAGACCTCCTGGAAAGCATCCCCCTAGGCAGATCGCCTAAGTGTGTCGTTGCCGTAACTAAAGAAACTTTAGTCGCTAGAAATATTAGGCCTAATGTAAATTATATTTACATTCAACAAATATTTAGGAGGAATTATGAAGGAAATTGCAAGCGTTAAAGGTTCAAAGGTGATTTTGAAAAGAGCTCCCAATTTATATAAAATTCTTAGAAACGATAAAGGGGTTATTAAAAAAGTAGATAAGGCAGGTGTNGGATTGACTAAGTATAATCCCGAAATCCCGGGATTAGAAATAAGGACCGGGATCGAATTCCCTAGATAGGACTGATAATTACACATATATTGAAATATAAAGAAGTTCGTTGATGGTTTGGAAATGCATTATATCAAAAGTTTAGTCGAATCAATGCAAATCTTGCTACCACTCATTATCTTCGTTACCTTTCTTGCCCTTGAAAAACAAGTAAACATCTTATAAGATGACAATGACCCTAAGCACTACCTTGCGAGTCAAAACATTGCTAAATCAAAAAAATCGAATGTTAAATGACCCCAGATTACCCAATCACCGGATCTAAACATCATGAAACACGTCTCGTTTGAATTAAAAAGATAAAAAATTTCAAATATAGAATAAGTATTATATAATCAAACATAGAAAAACTTTGGACAAGAATAGAAGCCATTTTAAATAATATTAAACTTAGAAACTTTGCAGAAAGTTAATCCACATAATATCTAATAGAACTTAGGCAAAAGATCTATTAATCATTAGAAAATATTAATCACTATGTTACATTCTGTTGAATTCAAGTTTGTATTTAATTAATAATTTATCAAGTTTTTCGAACAATAAGATGTTTGAAAGTAGTGGAATGAACGGAAAAATGAAAATAAAGTGATTATTTCTATTGAAAACAAACAAGAAAAAGATTGAAATTTATTATAAATTTTAGGAATGAAATAAGAAATAATTGTTGGAGAATTATACGCGTAACAGAAGTAGCCTAAATCTAGTGACTTTTAATCAGATTTACGCAAAAATTACTAGAAGAAAACGAATGAAACTTGCTGCCCACTAGTGACCGAGTGGATAAACCACTAGGCCACTGGTGGATATTGCTCAACAACACTAGTGACGGGTTTGCACATCGCTAACGGGCCAGCCGTTAGAGTTTCCCGGATTTTCTTTATATAAATAACACCTAAATTTGGGCCAGTTTTCCATAATAGTCCTCTCGAAAAGTATCTCTCGTTACCAGATCGCTCATATGCTACATTACTTTGTACTATCAATCCAGTCCAATCCATGAAGCATGATAGGACTAGAGGATTTGATCCCGGGATCTCGAAAATCGGGATCCCGGGATCCCGACCACTTTTCAGTCCCAAAATTTTCGGGATTAAGTTTTCCTAATCCCGAGATTNGCTATTAACCTACTTCGCGTTGAATTTTCATCGATGTTAAGCCTAACAAAAATTTTGTAAAATAATAATCGTCGCTATTGTATCGTTAAAAATTATAAAATTAAGCCTCGTTTAAATACTGGCTCCCTTTCATGGTCGATCTAGTGTTGCCAGCTAAAACACGTAAAAATATTATTAAAGTAGCCAAGACATAGCCAAATATTGTAGCGCACGTCACTAGCGGACATTTGGAATTTGCCGACTAGGACGGTCGGATAATCGAGGCTCTACTGTACTTCTATTCCGCTACTAGAACAGTTTATTTGACAGACATTCTATCACCAGGACGGATTCGCATCCGAATCCTATTGGAATTCTGTTTTTCTCGATAAGGTTGATTTATTTTACAATCTTCAGTCAAAACTGTCCGACCGTATTCCGAAGAACGGACGGTAAACAAACAGCAAATACAAACCTATTAACGGTTTAGCCGTCGAACGGCACAAGCTTTGACTGATTTCCGAATCAGGAGTTCTAGGCCAGATGACCGAGCAGGATAAGGGGAAAAAGGGATTGTTAATAGACTTGAGCACGCGCTCATTATAGCAAATTTTAGTTGTTTTTTTTTTTGAATAAAGGTACAGTACATGATAATAAATTACTTTATGTATAAATACCTTTGCTGTTACGAAATTTTTTAAATTCATAACATTCTAAGGACGAATAAGCCAATCTATTCATGTTGAATGTAAGCCATTCTCCTAGCATGTTTAATATTTCATTTGCAAATATATGTTTAAACAATGAATAAACAAAGTATCGCCTGTTATCGTCCAAATTTGACTGTAAATACATTAATTACTGACCATAAATGTTGTTTGTTCATTCATTCTAAAAGTATATTGAATTCATATAAATTTCACATCGGGTAAATAATTTATTTCGTGAACAGTCTCCATTTTCCGCATCTATCAATACGACTCGTTTCTACTCTTATCCAGTTTTAAGCATTTCCATGGAAATGTTTTTAACTATTAAGTTTTTCTTTATAGTTCGTTTCGTAGTGAAATATAAATACCAATAGATATATACATGAAAATTATTCTAATTAGTCTCAAAAAAAATTTTTTTATATGGGTACTTGAGATTAAAGCTTCAAGGCGCGTTCTACAGGTAGCAAGCTGTCACGTTGCTTACCAAACGAGCGGTTTACTTAAATTACTTATTTGAAATCAATGTAAAATGTGCAAGAACTAAGTAATGTAAAGCTTCTGATCGATATATGGTGACATTATTATTATAAAGAAAATGCTAAAACTGCCTTGTTAATGTGTTTTCGGTTATCTAATTAATTATGTATTGATATATGCTAATTTAAGTTTTAATTTTTCATTTATTTTCATGAAAGATTTTAAAGTGTTT